TCGTGGGAGATTAGAGGGAGAATAAATGTCGTTTTTGCGTTTTAGGAAAGCAAATGATTTAGGAAAAATGTTTTGTTTTATTTACATATTACTTTTATTTCTTTTTTTTTGTTTTATTTAAAATAATGGTATAATTGTTATTAAGATGACTCAAAAAGGTTAATTAGACTTTTTACCAAAAATAGGGGTTAGTCTAGTAAACCAAATGAACGCTGTGTCATTTGAGTTATTTTAGCTAAGATTAGAGTCATTCTAGGTAAATTTCACTTAAAAATAAAGAGGAAATAAAATGAGAAGGAGACAAAAAGAAAAGAGTGAGGAGACATGACATAAGCTAACACATGGACATGGACAAAACTGTCAATAATATACATAATACATAGAATATTATAGTAGTATAGTTAGAATGGTTAGATAATGAAATATAATTTTTTTGTTGGTTATTTTTGCCAATTTCTCAATATATATTACCTCAAGAGGAAAGGGTTATTTACAATGCCAAAAAAGCATAACGTTTCAAACGACCAAAAAAAAAAATAAAAAGCCAATCAGGATCGAGGTGGAGTATGTGAGGATTCGATCCGGTATTCCTCCTGATGGGCTAGTAAGAAACTGTAGTTGGGCCTGCGAATCTCCACTTAGGCCCAGGAAGACTGCAGTGTTTGTCAAAGCCCATGAATCTCAGTCAACACTCTTGCTTTTGTCTTCATGTGTGTACGGGTGCAACGGCTACACAATGATAAGGTTTGTTATGCCTAGGTTTGATGCGTGAGCTGTCAAGGGGAGCGTGTCAGAGGTGTATAAAAGGGTAAGCAAAGAGTAAAGACAAGAACAGAGAGCGTGAGTAGCAAGCGGAAAAGTCTAGAGAGTCAAGAGAGATTTGAGAGAGCTTATCTCGGTTTATTGATCTCTGTTTGTTGAGTCTTTCTGGTTTCTTGTACTCGGTGTTGAAACGCTTAATAAGACACCTTGTGAGCTTGTCAGTAAGCTCACCAAGACGTACCTTGGTCACCTTGACCTTGGGAACTTGTAAATCTTGTGTCGCCTCTGTTCTTCCTCTGTTCTCTCTTCTCTTCTCCTCTGTTTTCTTCTTCTGCAACAAAACACAAACAAAGCAAACAGATCCTGACAAAGTATTTAGCCAAAAGAGTGAGAAGAACCAAAAAATGGTATCAGAGCTTCGTTGAAAACGATAAAGGTGGTGTCTTTTCTTCTTAAAGTTGAAGTCTTTTTTCTCTTAAGTTTGTTTGCAGAAGGTCTAGATCCAGCAAGTGAAAGGTTTTCTTGTTCACTTGGTTTCTGGTCTAGGTGTTTCTTCTGTAAAAGGAGATCTGGTGTGTTATCTGAGTTTTGCTGGTGTTATCTGTTGGTGTTACTGTGTGGGTAGTGTTGGTCTGGATATTCTCTCCACCTAGATTCTGATCAAGTCTGGTTTTAGGAAAGAGTAAATGGATCCTACTCGGGGTAAGTTTGAAGTGGATAAGTTTGATGGGGAAGGAGATTTCTCTATATGGAAGCACAGAGTGCTGTCTACTCTAGAGATTCTTGGGTTAGATTCAGTTTTGAGAACTGATGAAACAACTACATCTGAAGAAGAGGAGAAAGTGAATAAAGAAGATCCTGAATGGATAGCTAAGGACAAGAGGGTAAGGAATCTCTTAGGCATGAGTGTTACTGATCTTGTGTTGAGGAAAGTTATGAAGAACAAGTCAGCTCAAGGATTCTGGGATGCTCTAGAATCTCAGTATCAAGACAAGTCAGTCCCAAACAGGTTCTACCTAAAGCAAAGATTCTACAGTTTCAAGATGGAGGAAGACAAGAATCTAGACAAAAACTTGGATGTGTTCAACAAGCTTGTCTCAGATTTGGTAAGTCTTGATGTTGAAATAAGTGATGAGGATCAAGCTGTTATTCTCCTAAACAGCCTGCCATCAGCTTTTGCTCAACTAGTTCACACTCTGAAGTATAGGGGAGGCACAAAGACTATAACTTTGAAAGAGATTGTTCAGTCTGCTTATTCCCAAGAAACAGAGTTGAAGCAAAAGGAAACCTATCTACCAAAGTCAAGTGGTGAAGGTCTGTATGTTCAGCACAAACCTAAATTTGAAAAGAAGACTAATCCGAAGGCAAAAGCAACCAACAAAGGTAAGGAGAAAGTTAAAGCAAAGAAGGTTATATGCTGGATTTATGGGGTCGATGGACACTACAAGAAAGACTGTCCAAAGAAAGGCCAAATCACTGGAGAAGCTAGTGTTGGACAGGGAATAGATTCTGAACCTATGATGCTGACTGCATCAAAAAGACATGTAAGAGATGGTTGGGTACTTGATTCAGGATGCTCGTATCATTTGACCTATAGGAAGGATTTGATGTATGATCTGGAAGAGATAAATGGAGGGAAAATCCTAATGGAGAATGATACTTACTGCGAAATCACAGCTATAGGGAAAATCAAGTTTTTGAACTATGACAACTCCATTGTCATACTAACAAAAGTAAGGTACTCACAAACTGCAAAGAGGAATCTGATCTCATTGGGACAGTTAGAGTCACAAGGCTGTTGGTTCCAAGGAAAGGATTCCAGATTGAGAGTTTTCTACAAAGGAAAAGAAGCTCTAGCAGGTGACTACAAGGAAACTCTCTATATCTTGGATGAGAAGCCAGTAGTAGAGCAGGCAAACTCAGTTGTCAAGGAAGGAGATAAAACTATGCTATATCACAGTAGGCTGGGACACATGAGTGAAAAGGGCTTACAGCTTTTGGCTAAGAAAGAAATGTTAAAGACAGAAGATATAGCAGAGCTAAAAGACTGTGAACACTGTGTTCTTGGCAAGTTCCATAAGTTATCTTACAAAACAGGAAAACATACTTCAACAGAAAAACTGGAGTATGTACATTCTGACTTATGGGGATCTCCTAATGTCACTCCAAGTCTGTCAAGGTGCCAATACTACATTTCTTTTGTAGACGACTACTCAAGAAAGGTATGGGTATACTTCTTAAGAACCAAAGATGAAGCTTTCAGTAAGTTTGTTGAATGGAAGGCTTTTGTGGAAAATCAAAGTGGTAAGAAGCTGAAGACTCTGAGAACAGATAATGGTTTGGAATACTGTAACAAGGTATTTGATGATCATTGCAAGGTTAATGGAATCATGAGGCACAAAACTTGCCCCTACACTCCACAACAGAATGGCATTGCTGAAAGGCTAAACAGAACAGTTCTGGATAAAGTAAGAAGTCTTCTGAGTGAGACAGGACTAGGAGAGGTTTTCTGGGCAGAAGCAACCTCAACTGTGGTGTACATGATCAACAAAACACCATCCACACCTCTGAATTTTGAAGTTCCTGAGCAAATTTGGACAGGTTCAAAACCTAACTATGAGCACATGAAGAAATTTGGATGTTTGGTGTATTATCATGCAGACCAGGGAAAATTGAAGCCAAGAGCTAAGAAAGGGATTTTCATGGGGTATCCACAGGGGGTCAAAGGTTACAGGATTTGGAGTTGTGAAGACCAGAAATGTGTAATCAGTCGTGATGTCCCTTTTAGAGAAGAACATTCTCCTACAGGATCCTGCTAAGGAATCTACTT